TAGTGTTGGGGGTGGAATGCAACGAGAATCCAGACCTGTGAACTGTGACAGCTCAGAACTAGAGCTCAAACCGAAGCATTGAAACAATCACTGACATGCAGACTTCGAACTAAAAATAGAACATGGTGGGTTGTGTCATACTGTTCTGAAAAAAAAGTTAGAGCTTCCAGAAATTTTTTAAGAGTGACTAAGAGGGGCCAGCACCGTGGCTCACTTGGTTAATCCTCTGCCTGCGGCGCTGGCATCCCATACGGGTGCAGGATTCTGTCCCGGTCGCTCCTCTTCCAGTCCAGCTCTGCTGTGGCCCGGGAAAGCAGTGGACGATGGCCCAAGTGCTTGGGCCCCTGCACCTGCATGGGAGACCAGGAGGAGGCACCTGGCTCCTGGCTTCAGATTGGCGCAGCGTGCCGGCTGTAGCGGCCATTTGGGGGGTGAACCAATGGAAGGAAGACCTTTCTCTCTGTCTCTCTCTCTTACTAACTCTGTCAAATTAAAAATAAATAATAAAAGAGTGACTAAGATACACAGAATGGGGATGGCTGTATCAGCCAGTAAAACAAAGTCCTTTGCAAGCCTGTGAGGGTCATCTATGGCCTGGCTATAGTCATAGATAGAAAGGATACCAGTTAGAATTCTTTTGGAAGCAACCAATTCTAGCCAACTTAAGCAATAAAGCTTTACTTGAAGGAATGAGGAGTTAATGTGATCAAAGGGAGGCTGAAGAATCAAACTTAGGATAGACACTGTGGAAGCTTCAGGAATTTTTTTTTTAAGAGAAACTTCAATAATCTTGTTTCTATTCCTCCACTAGATTAAATATACTGTTTAAATTGCTCTTTCAAGATTCAAAATCCTGCAATGAATGCCCAAATCCAATTAAAACCCACAACTGGGAGTCCTGGCACTTTGAGAGAAGGACCCTCCAAGAATTCCTTTGGCTTATTTAAGAGCAAGTGTTTGGATTTACCAATTCAGCAAGACTAACTGCAAAAGGAGGTAATCCTTCATAAGAAATTGTACTGTGGGGAAAGGAACTGGACAAACAAAAATGACAAATGTCTAGTTGGTCACATGAAGCTGTAGATAACAGTAGTGATTTTTGTTTATTTCCAGGGAGTGCCAGCCCTTTCCCTTGATAGGTGAAGGGCTGATCATTCCTCTTCCTGCCAGAGTCTGAACTGGGTTTGTGTCATTGCTTTAATTAAATGGAATTGCCTGGGTTTAGCCAAACCCCTGTCCACCCCCTACGTTAGCCTTTTGATCTTGGTATTTGAGCTGGAAAGGGTTTAGGTCACAGGCTCAGATGTTTATGCTTCTACTTACTAAATTGTGACAGTTCTAGAATTCAGTCACTCTGAGAAAGCGCGGAAGTTACAGTCCCTCATCCCCCATTTTTTTTTTTTCTGCCAGGCAGAGTGAGAGAGAGAGAGAGAGTTATAGACAGTGAGAGACAGAGAGAAAGGTCTTCCTTCCGTTGGTTCACTCCCATAATGGCCGCCACGGCCGGCGCTGCACCAATCCGAAGCCAGGAGCCGGGTACTTCCTCCCGGTCTCCCATGCGGGTGCAGGGCCCAAGCACTTGGGCCATCCTCCACTGCCCTCCCAGGCCACAGCAGAGAGCTGGACTGGAACAGGAGCAACTGGGACTAGAACCCGGTGTGCCGGCGCCGCAGGAGGAGGATTAGCCAAATGAGCCATGGCGCTGGCATCCCCCATTTTCTTTGGGAAATCCAGGGAAGGGGGATCTTCTAGCCTAGAGCAGGTTGCTCTGGCAGATGATATTTCCAGATTTCAGTCTATCTCAGCAGTACATCTTTGTCCTCATCGTGGCTGAATTATCCTTGTAAAGTATCTTCATCTAGGCCAGATCCAGGAGTCCACTTCCAGGAGAAAAAAACTGCCAAGGCGCTGCTTACCTTCAAAGGGTTTCATTCTTTCCAGAAATCAGTTCCCAAAGATTTTCTTGCATCCACTGTTCTGTGCTAGCCTCATAGAACAGTATTATTTTGTCTAGATTTTTCTTCTTTCAGACCAAAATGTCCAAACTCTAGCCATTGACCCATTGATTTTTAATAAGTTCAATAAAGCTACAGTATAAGCAAAAAAAAAAAAGTGGCAGTCCTTTGGAGTGTGTATTGTGAAATGCTTACATGTCTCATCATTTGGTAAATGTATACTATGTAAGTGTAAACTAAGAGTGGCCCAGTAATAGTTAATATTCACCAAAGAACTGAATGTGTCCTATGTGAATATATTCAGTTCTCGGTATTTTGTGCACATTCATAGATAATGGAAAACTGTATCACTTAAAAATCTCACAGCAGAAGCTTCACTATTGTTCTAGCAAACTTTTAGACAAGAATAGACTGATCTGGTGCCCTTCTAATTCCTTGATTTCCTGCCTATAGGGAGAGTTATGTTGAAGATCAGTGCTAGACTTAAAAGACACCTAATAGAAAAGAGGAAACTGAGCAGAAAAGAATGAACTTATTATTCTTATGTAACTTAGATTTGTTTCTTCTTTGCAGGGGAGATGGGATGGATGTGGCCTAATGAAAGTGTTGATGTATTAAGGTCTGCCAGGTGTGCCTGTCCAGGATCTTTTTCTCCCCACCCTAAATACTTTGACATGCTCCCTCAGCACCACCTACATATTCATGTATTTATACACAATGTATTTACATGGCCTGTCTTACTTTCTCCTACTTAGTACTAGGAGCCACCAAGTAAGATCTAGAGAAGTAAACTACAAAAGGTAGCTTTGAGTTGCTCTTAGGCCAGTTTTATTGTTGGAAGAATTGGTAGCAAAAAGCTACGTGAAGCCTTCAAGGCAGAAGTGAATCAGGAACTCAAGGAGGGAAAAAAAGCTGCCAGGCCTAACAGTACTTGTGGAAACAGGTATCATTTCTTTCTGCATACAAAAGTACCAGCTGCTGAGGTTAATGGAAGTGTTAAGATGATGAGAAAAAAATTCAGCTGCTTCCAGCTCTGCTGATGAACCTCCTTGGAGACACCTTCCAAGAACAAGATCTATTCCTTGGAGAAAAAGGGAGGCATTGCGTAATAGTTTGATCTCTTGAAATGGAGGTGGGCAGGATGTCCAGTCCTGCAAGGAGTTCTGCTGAGGTCCCTGAGCAACCCAGTCACCTATGAAAATAACACTGTCAGTGCTTGCCTGAGACCATGTGTCCTTGACATCTAGAGAGCAATTTGGAAACACAAACAAGGGCTAACGGTTTTTTAACTATGGCCTTAGAGTTGCTGCTACTGTCTGTCTCTGATTAGATAAAACCATAAGGCCCTCAGCAATCATGTGGGCAATCATACCCAGTTTAGGGACATGAGACTCAGCCTTTGTTTTGAGAAATTTATTAAAATAAGAACAAGCATAGGTTGTACATAGAAACAGTCATTTGCATTAAGTGGGGTACCAGAGCAGCAGAGCAGTTTTAAATAGATTTTTTTTTTTAAAAATCACAAAATACATTTGGTTAAGGCACTACAACCTGTCTCATGTTTCAATAAATATGCTGTCTTTTAAAAAGGCAGTAATGAGTACCTATGAGTTAATGAACATAGGTACTATACTATTAAAGACAAACTTTGCTGTAGCCATTGAAAGTAATTAATTCTCAAAAGATTTTTCATCTAAGAATAGCTTAAAAACATTGAGGATATGAAAAAAATCACAGTTTTGTCTTTCCTGTTTAGGTCTCTTCCAGAGAGATCTATGTATAAAAGGTGCTGTGTCTTCATAATGCCTAGCCAGCAATGAATTATAGTACAAAAGATTGCCTCTCAGGAAATAAAGCCATCAGAGGGTATCTCAAACAGCTTGTGTCTTTGGAGAAGTGTAAAGACTTTTTTTTTCCCAACTGCAATAAACTTAGGGGAGTTTAGAACATTCTGGACTTTTTGATACCCAAGAATGCTGCTTTGGACACATCCTCTGTTCAAAAAGCTTTGTGAAGCACCTGAGGGGAAATCAGACTTGGCTCCTGTATTGTCCAGGGTAGACAGACAACCAGACTGGGAGTCAGGTGGGCTGGGTGCTCATTTAGCACCACCAGTACCTGCTAATAATGCCAACCTTGCATTTTATTACAGTGTTCTGCAGCTGTGTTCCTCTGTAAGATGAAAGGTTTGTGTTCAACATTTACTGCTGTCTCTCCAGTTCTAGCACCTTGCTAGTTTGGTAGTGTGAATTATTTTTGGTTTATTGCTGATGCTGTACAGTCAGACAGGCCAGCCTGTCTTGTAGAACACAATGACCACAGCAAAGATGAAGAAAAGTAACCTTCCACAACATTACCAAGACTATATGACCCTTGTGTGCAAATCCTTCCATGGTAACATGCCACACTATTAAAAGTCACCATTTAACTGGAGTTGTTACTCATAAGTCACTACGATTAAATTCACATTATCACAAGTTTGGTTTCTCTGGTCAGGTCTCCAACACAGATAATGGGCAGTAAGGCTGTACACAGGCATGAGGTAAAATATAAACAAGATACCCACTTGAGCCTCATCTCATTTAAGGTGAGTAATGATTTTTTTGCAGGGAGGTGGGGGTGTCAGTCGTAGAGAAGCTGCCCATTTGACTTTATTGCTGACATTCAGACAGTGCAGGTTAGCAAGACTTAAGCTGGCAAATATGCTTAACTTTTTGGCAAGTAAATGACACATGATCAAAAGTTGCTTTTTTTTTTTTTTTTAAAGCAATCTGGGCCCTACTTTCTCAGTGCAGTAGGGAATATGGCTAGTTCCATTCTGAAATGTATTAACAATATTGCTTTCACCGGCTAAGATTCAGTCTTCAGTTTGACTTTAACATATATTTTTGAGTTGTCTTTATAGACATGATTTTTACCTCATTTAAAATATAAACTTTAAAATCAGTCACACTGAGAAGCATCTGTATACAAAGCATCTAATCACAAAATAGAAAAGATAATCAAAAAGGCACTTCAGAAAGAAACTCTGGAGCCAGAGAGCGCTCAGTTGTTCTTCTCCAGGGACCTGTAGTAATCTGTCAGGACTTTCCACGCTTTGGGGGCCATGAAGCCATCTGGGGGATTTTCTCCTTCCCTGGCGAGCTTTCTCATACGAGTTCCTGAGATGAAGTCAAACTCGTTGTGCCTGTCACAGGATAGCAACAGAAAACTCAGTGTACATGAATAACATCTGCCTTAAAGGTTCCTAGAACAGTTTATGGGTTATTAGACATTTTTTTCTTTTGTTGGTGGTTACCTACTTTTATTTACTGTGTACCTACTCTGTTCATGGATAGTGTCTTGAGGCCAGAGACTCAGAATTCTATTTCTCAGCCTACTTCTGAGACTCCCAGTACAGGATTGAATGCACTGAAAAGACTTGCTTAATTCTTTTTTCTACAGTTCTTCTTCACTTAATGTGTCAGGCACTTGGTGCATGCTCAAGCTTGCATGTTGAAAGAGAAGTATTTTTAGACTACCTGATTTGTGCAAAAGACTTTAAGGTTATAAACTGTGTAAGAGTATGTTTTGACATTGAAGGGATTCTCATTCCAGTTAGGGGCATATGGAAGTGCTTTGGATTTTTCTAGATTTTTGCCTCATCGTTCCAGTTGTACGGACATTGGTTCTAGAATCGTCCTCCAAAAACATACCTTGCTGGATCATAGAAGTCCATGGCTTTTTTGGCTTTGTTGTAGGCAGCCACTCGGAATGGAATGATTTCCACAGAGGTGAGGCCAGGGGCCATGCTTAACACCTTGCCCCCATGAGTGGGTTCATACAGGTCTCTCTTGGTCTCTGGGTGGGGCATTCCTGCTGGGTCCCTGCCCACAATGTAGAAGTTGGCCCCTGCAATCATCCTGGACCTGCAGTGCCACTGGACCTAGGAAATATCACATAAAGGACAAGCTTTATTCTGCTTTGAAAGTAATTCAGTGATGGGTGTCTGGTAAGAGTAACAAGAAAGTCAGTGAGGTTCTAACGCTCCCTGCTCACTTCTTCAGGCTTGCTAATGTTGGATAGGCCAAGAGCTTTCAAAAATACAAATCCTCCCTCGTAGAGCTCCAGGTTCTGTTCTTCATCCCTTCTCCAGACAGACTAGCAGCTCGGGAACACTCAGATCTTATTATTCTACAGAATAATGTGAATTTTTCCCTTATTCAGATAAAAGAAATTATAAACTGCAAATAGGACTATCTGACCACCAATAATGAGCAAATTGCCAGTCACATTCAGACACTGATTCCAGTTCAACACAACATTTGCCTTTTTTTTAATTATTATTTTTATTATTTTTTTTTTGACAGGCAGAGTGGACAGTGAGAGAGAGAGAGACAGAGAGAAAGGTCTTCCTTTGCCGTTGGTTCACCCTCCAATGGCTGCTCTGGTCAGCGCGCTGTGGCCGGCGCACCGCGCTGATCCGATGGCAGGAGCCAGGTACTTATCCTGGTCTCCCATGGGGTGCAGGGCCCAAGCACTTGGGCCATCCTCCACTGCCTTCCCGGGCCACAGCAGAGAGCTGGCCTGGAAGAGGGACAACCGGGACAGAATCTGGCGCCCCGACCGGGACTAGAACCCAGTGTGCAGGCGCCGCTAGGCGGAGGATTAGCCTAGTGAGCCGCGGCACCGGCCAACATTTGCCTTTTAAAATTCAGACAGAAATACAATGGATGGAGAGGAGAATTTTTGCTCTGATGCAAGAGAATTAATTCATTAAACTCCATGTGTGGCATTCCACAGGGTTGAGACCCTTTCAATTCATCATTACTTCTACTAGACACTCAAATCCACTACACTGGTGGTACAGGGGCATGAAGGAAATCTCTGATAAACTCACTATATTATGATGAAAGGGAGAAATTTATCTGTTTAAGGCATCCTATCCCTTCTGAAGTAGCTCACGGAGCATGGTGAATCACTTAGAGTAACTGGGACTAATGAAATGGAATGCTAAGGTAGTGGTCCAGTTAAGCATCATTATCTACCTCATTCACACACCAACTATTCTTAAAAGCAGTGGATAGAGGTTTGATCTGATGTTTCAAGCATTTTTACAAATACTAAATGCTGACAGTATTAAGTTGGATAAAGAACAGCATCTAGAAGGTCCTAGAATCTGCTCATGAGGAAGAAAGGAACCCGGAGATTCATTTACAATTCCCTGTAAAGTCCTATAGCCCAGCTCCGGGGGTTTCTTACCTCTGTGGGACCAGCATACAGCATGGGAGATGGAAAGATGGCAACAATGGTTGACTTGGGATCCAGGACCTCCTCCTCGAGCACAGCTGAGTGCTGCTTCATCCGCCAGTCCAGTGGCACATCATCATCCTTGGTCCAGCCACCCAGAGGATGCAACAGGAGCACCGGGTGCTTGTAGCCTCTCTCCAGGAGCCGACGGCGAGTGTCCTGCATCAACAGAGCATGCCCGTTGTGGACAGGATTGCGCAACTGGAATGCAAACACAGCATCTGGGAAACAAAAGCAGAAAAGCCAAGGTCAAAGAAATGCTGGGTACTTGTCCATAAGAAGGTACAGCTATGTTTAATGTTTCATACAGTCGTTAAATCTAGTTGTTTTTGATAATCAGCTGGAAAATGAACATGAGTTTTTATGAGTCTTAGTCCAAGAGCACTAACCAATATCAGATTGCTCAGAAAGGGAAAGGATGCAAAGACAGTAGAGCACGAACTTGACTGGGGAATGCAAACATTTGTTGGTGAAGCCTTTTCTGCAAACCAGGGCTCAGGCAGGGCTATCATTAATCAGTCCTCTTGTACCCTGCTCCTGTCTCACTTCTGCAGGGGGATGAGTAATCATGTTTGTTGTGATCTATGCAAAGGAAAACAATCTACAGATATAAAAAGCATTTAACTTTAAAGAAATCTTCAAAATTATTCCACTTAATGATAGACTCACAAGAACCTTATTTTTTTTTCTGGTTATGAAACATCATTGATATATATCCATTATGGGAAATTTGGGAAATACTGAGAAATAAACCAAAATAGATTATAAAAAAGAATACTGAGAATCCTATCATTACTTTTTATCTTTTTAAAAATGTATAGAGTGAAAATCTTACCTTCATCCAATTCCCAAGAAGTGTATGTGCTGCCTGAGACTTTGGTGCTTCTATACACAGAAGTAGGTTAGAATTTTAAAACCTATTACCGGGGAGCCGATGCTTTGGCATAGTAGGTTAAGCCTCTGCCTGTGGCACCGGCATCCCATAGGGCACTGGCTCAAGACCTGGTTGCTCTACTTCCAATCCAGATCCCTGCTGATGGCTTGGGAAAGTGCTGGAAGATGGTCCAAGTGCTTGGACCCCTGTACCCACCCAGAGACCCGGAAGAAGCTCCTGGCCTCTGGCTTTGGATCAGCCCAGTTCTGGCCATTGCAGCCATTTGAGGAGTGAACCAGTGGATGGAAGACCTTCCTCTCTGATTCCCTCTCTCTCTAACTCTGCTTCTCAAATAAATAAATCTTTTTTAAAAAAATTATTGTTACATTTTATTTGTTTTTCAAAATGTGATTATGCTATACATACTGTTCTTCACTTTGCTTTTTTGCTTTATATGCTTGTAGATACCTTTCTGAGTTGGTGTGTTTTTAACTGTGGCATATGAATGTGGTACAACTTAAAAAAAAAAAAAACACTGTTTCTGTATTGGATCAGCATGAAGATATTTTCAGTTTTGTTTGTTTGTTTTTTTGACAGGCAGAGTTAGACAGTGAGAGAAAGAGACAGAAAGAAAGGTCTTCCTTTTCCGTTGGTTCACCCCCCAAATGGCTGCTACAGCCGGTGTGCTGCACCAGTCCGGTGTTGCCTCCTGGTCTCCCATGTGGGTGCAGGGCCCAAGTACCTGGGCCATCCTCCACTGCCTTCTCGGGCCACAGCAGAGAGCTGGATTGGAAGAGGAGCAACAGGGACAGAACTGGCGCCCCAACCAGGACTAGAACCTGGGGCGCCAGCACCACAGGGGGAGGATTAGCCAAGTGAGCCACGGCGCCAGCCTTTTCAGTTTTATTACACTGTAAAAATGCTGATTTCTGATGTCTTCTTTCACCAGAGGGTGCTGAGGAGAATTAACAAATGAGCCAGAGCCAGCCTACATACCAGCATTCATCTCTTTACATTTCTGTTTGAGCTCCAGAGGCGTCAGGCGGTATTGGTCCAGCCCATCATTCCACCGTATTCTCTCCAGTACCTGAAGGTCCCCACCAACCAGCCAATCCCCACTTTCCATCACCATCTAGAAAGAACATCATTGAAGTTGTCAATGATTCATAGTGATTTCTATTTTATATGAATCCTTCCTCCAAACCAACCATGAGTAACAGCATTTCTGGTTCAATATTTCTTGAACTCTTTGGTCTCTTCCCCTCTTTATACTCTTAAAAGTTATTGTAAACACTGCCCTTCCAAGAGCAGTTTGTTCATGTGGGTGTTATATATTATTTTATATTAGAAATTAAAAACTATTAATTCAGTTAAAATTAACATTGATAAACCTATTATATATTAAAATGTGTAACTTTCAGTTAAAAAAAAAAAAGCTATTCCCATCCCCCCTACACCCAAAATAGGAGGTATGGCATTGATTTACATATTTGCAAATCCTTTAATGTCTGACTTAATAGAAGAGAGCTAGAGTTTCAGATCTGCATTTAACCTGAGTAATATGTTGTTTGGGCTCAAGTATGTAAAGAAAGAACAACTAGAAGTAGGAAGTTGGAAAAGGATTTGAATAAAAAATTAATTTTTAAAAAACACAGTTTTTAATGTCACTACTAGTCTCATCAGAACATTTTCTAGATATTGGGAAACAACCAACGAAGCTCAGTAGTGATTTAAAATTTTCCAGAATTTCTTTGCTTTAAACCTCAAAGTTTATCATTGACAACTACTACTCTCAGCTGTTTTCCTTGAAATGATAGGTTCACTTCATTTGTTTTGAAAAATGTCTGCCAAAGACCCAAATCAAAATAAACAGTTTGTCACTCATTCTTTCAAGGAAAAATGGTATTTTGTGGGGGGAAAAGGTGACTAGTCTTGCTCAGCTCAGATGATCATTCAAGTACTTTCCTTTGAGACAACTATTAGCCTTGATGCATGCAGCAGAAGTACTTTAATACACATTTTTCCTTTTGTTGCAGTATTAAAAAACATAGGCTTAGGCTTATTAAAAATACAAGGGTCAAGATGTAATAGTCATTTTTACAGCTCCATGAAGAAAATTATTAAGTAAAACCGGCCTTGATTTTACTGCAGGTGCATGGTGATAAAGAACAATGACTACAAGTGCAGTCAGTCCACTGTCTCAAGTCCAAGATGCCAGCAGTTTATTCACCACTGCTTTTGGACCAGCAGTGCAAATGTCAACAAAACAAAAAGCGAATAATGACTTAGTAAAATGAACATAGTTTTGAGCTTAGAGATTTTCTGGAGAGGGTTGTGGAGACTCTGAGGGTTTTGTGATTGAAAACCACTGCTAGCAAATTCCTAGTACAGTCCGGTGTGTCTTAGACTATTTTCAATAGTTCAAATTGGAGGGCCTGGAGGGAAAATCAGACAAGCTCTCTACCAGTTGGTTATTATCAAACACAATTTCTTGAGAATTTCCATAAAGATGAACCTTCATTTATAACCTATTTAAAAACAAAAATAAATTTCCAAAGAGCAGGAAAATGCAGCCAAATGGACACCAGGACTTAAACACAGACTAAAACCTCATTTTATCAAATGCTGTTCAACAAGGGTGCAAGCACCACTCTAAAGGAAAGGACAGATTATTCAACAAATGGAGTGGAGAAAATTGGAACCTACATGCACAAAAGGGGGCTGGATCGGAAGCAGAGCCAGGTCTTGAACTGGTGCACATATGGGATGCCAGCATCACAGGCGGAGGCTTAATCTGCTGCACCACAACACTGGCCTCAGATGTTTAACTTTTAAATATGGTATATAGGGGCAGGCGTTTAGCCTAGCAATTAAGGCAGTGGTTAGGGTACCCACATCCAGTACCCACACAGCAGAACCTGGGTTCAACTCCTTGCTTCAGCTCCTGACTCCAGCTTCCTGCTATTGCAGGATCTTCCATTTATATTCTTGCACTAAACCCCATAAATGTTAGGGGTAGACCTGGTGTGAAGAATGTCAAAATAACAAAGACCAAAAAAAAAAAAACCAACAACCAACATGACAACCTTTGTTTTGTCTATAAATTTAACTGTCACATCTGAATTTGAAGTAGATAGTCTCTCCCAGTCACTGAGAAAAATGCTACAGGAAGAAGTCTTATTCTTCAGTTAATTATGTAACTGACTGATCACCTTTCCCCTCATCAGACCCCATAACTACCTTAGCAGAGAAGAGAGAAACCAGGGCAAGAACCTCTTGATTTAAATACCTAGTAAGAAGACACAGAGGAGATAAGGGCAAAGCTCTGTTTCACATTTCCTGTTAGGGCCAGAAAGTGGGGTTTACCATGAATGGTCTGCATTGCAGAGTGGGTTAGAGCGGTTGTTTTTGATGGTGGGCCATTTGCCTCTCCTAGTGATTCTTTGATTGTCACAACTGGAGTGGGAGAAGGTATGCAATTTGCATCTAGTGTGCAGGGGCCAGGGAAGCTACTAAATAGCCTTCATTGCCAAGACAACCCCCACAACATAGAATTATTCAGTCCCAATGTCAGTGGCGCTGAGGTTGAGATACCCGGAGGTAGAGGATAATTGTACAAGGGGTTGGTTGTGTTTTTATGACACCATTCCTAAACTCTGTACTCAGTAAAATCATTAAACAAGAATATTTTCAAACACCCATATCTATACACGTTTTCCTCATTGCTTCAAGTCAGATGACACAGTGGTTTGATGATGACCCCAAATCCTTGTGGGGCGGTGTGTGTGTGTGTGTGTGTGTGTGTGTGTGTTTGTGTAGTAACTCATTCTGAACGCTAGAGGTCCACCTAGTACTGTATTGCTCTATCTAATGGTGAGGGCAGTACTGAACCAACTTTGTTCACTATTCAACCTAAAAATGTATCTGAAGAGCAATGCTGAAACTATGCAGGTCTCTCTCAGGTGGTCCAACTATCCCCGGAAATTTCCAGCTATCAGGAAGGGAGGTGCAGTGGTTCTGCTTGATTATCCAGGGCTTAGTGGCTTACTAGTGCCCACCTCCTTCCAAAGGCAGAAGAGGGGCCACAGCTAGGACATTTGCAGAACTGGATACACCAAGAAAAATGAGGAATATCTTAGGGAATCTAGTGAATTATTGAAAGAGGAATTGAGCTTGGAGTCAAAGACAACAGGAATGCAAGATGGAGGAGAAGATGAGCTCAGACGCTAGCATGAAAACTGGGCTGTGGTGAATTGGCTAAAAGAGAGCAAGGAGAGAGGGACTCCAGCTGTCCGGAGAAGGTGAGGGAATGTATAACCTCGAAGGAGGGCTGCAGCAGAGGGTGAGATGGTACAAAGGTCAGGATGAAGAAAGAAGGGAAAGACACCAGATAAAGGTCAGCTGAACTGTAAATGGCTTTACTCAGGAAGGTAAGGTGATTACGACAAGGTTCAGAGAAGATAATGGAGAAGAAGAAAAAGTGACGTGATACAAACGAAGGGTATGTCTTCATTTCTGCTGTGTCTATCATAGTCATGGGATCTGAAACTAGAAGGAACCTGGAGCTCAAGTGGATTTACTCTCCTTATTTTCAGATCAGAGAGGACAGTTTTACAGAGGACAAGTGGCAGAGTTCAAGTACACACAGCTGTCTTTCTGAAGCTGAGTCACCTGTGACAGAGCCACCTGTCACAGATGTGGTTAGGAAGCCAGTCATGCTTATGGATCATAGTAGTCAGGGCTGACTTCTTGGAGGAGGAGTGGAGGAAATGTGCTGAGGAGCCAGGGCTAGAAGGAATGATGTCTGGTTGAACAAGCAGGTGCAAAAGTAAGTGCACAATTTAATGAAGGCTCCACAATGACCAGAGGACAGAATATATTGGGTGGAGGAGGTAAGAGGCTAAAAGACAGATCATAATTTTTGCAAAGGAGTTCCCAAATAAAAGCTGAAGAGTTTTTTTTAGCCAAAGAAGGGAGAAAGGTTGAGAGGGGGAGTAAAGCAAGAAACAGAAGAAATGAAATGTCCTGGCCAAGCTGAAACAGAGGAGGAGTAAACCTAGGAAGCAAAATTGTCAAGAATTGGTGACCAGAAGACAAGAGTAAAAGAAAACAATGTTGACGGTATTCTATGTTATGTCCAATAGGCCCCCATTGGGATGGTGGAGCTGTCAGTGAAATAGGGCCCCCAGGAGAGGTAGAGTCTAAGGTGCTTATAGGATGTACCCAGATGAAGCCATACAGGAAATAGCACCAAATAAGGATTTGGTACAGTGGTTCTCAGCCTTCTCAGAACAATAGAATCAGCAGAAACTTCAAAACCACCAGTGATCAAGCCTGATCCCTCCCCAGCTGAATTAGAATCTGAGGGTGGCACGCAGTCCCCGGGTGGTTGTCATAGCTTCCCAGATGATTCCCTGGATCTAAATGACCATATATATTGTCTTCACTGCTGAGATAAGGATATAAGACGTCTTATTCCTGTCCTTCATTGGGAAGTCACAGTTTACTTTCTTGATTTCTACATCTGTAAGTGGGAATGATGTGTCTGAGTTTCGTGACAAGAGCACTAATGAGAAATAATTACTGTTTGGATAAGATGGGAGAGCCATGGATGGAGGGCAACAGGGCTCCTCCAAGCATTTTGTTCTACAGGTGTCACCTGCTCCTCCTCAAGATTTCAGCTGTGATTCTGCCACATGATTCCATATTTAGCGACTCAAAGGAGAGCCCCTGAGGGGAAGAACCAGAAGTGACTTCAGTGAGGACCTGTAGAGGAGAGGCAGACCACAGCCGTGGTGACTGAGCATTTTCCACAGACATCATTTCCAGAGCCACAGGAAAGATCAGGCAGTCTAGGATTATTTTTGAAAGCAATTACTTTTGGACAGTCTTGAGTTCTAAAAACTTCTGTTAAAGCATTCCTGTGAATTTCAGGGTACTCCCGCTGCCCCCAAAGAAACCCACAATGAGTTCTTTTCCCAATAAAACTCACATATGGTATGTCTGGTAAAAGCACTGTCAACAATCCAAGCATACTGTATGTGGGATGAGTAGCTTTCTCCCCCTGGTTATCCATGGCCCATTTCTCACCATTAGCTCACTAGATACATTTACAGAAGCCCTCTAATGACCAAATGGGACACGGTTGGTCACAATATTGTCAAAGCAACAAGTCACGCCAGCACTCTCCCTGGCTCCTAGGAAACTCTGAGCTCCAACTGCTGACATACATTGCAAAACAAGGTGAAAAGAAGCTATCATTTAAGAGCACTGTCAGCTTTTGTTGTGTAGTGCTAGTCATATCTACGTGGATGGTAGACCCAAAGTGTAAAAATATCTGAGTTGGTATAATGAAAGACCGCTATTCTTTAAGTCACCGGGTGAAGATAAGATCTCAAGGCCGTAAGATTATGATCAGTAAAGAAATGACCAGAGACATAATTGAAGCCCAGAGTATAATATTCTTCAAAGAGCTCACAGTCCATGTCCAGTAATTTCAAAAATGCTGTGTCAGCCTCTTTGAGTAAATCTGTTCAGTTGGCTTTGATCTGGATGTGTGTGAAAATTAAAGATGCTTATCCTCAGGGTGGATTGATGATGTGTCCAATAGTGCAAAAGCTGCTTTGCTTGGCCATTGACCTCTTGTGTTCCGGTTAAGAAGGCCACGAGATGCCAGCAACAGGGGCTGTGAAGAGCTCCTTCCTATTTGGAATATTTCACAATTCAGGAGATGAGGGAACCCATACTTTTTTGTAGGGTCATGGGATTGGAAGAGACCTTAGAGTTATATTGAGTCTGGCCTTTCCTTGTGTAAATGAACAGAAGCCCAGAAAGACAATGTGCTTTGTCTAATCACAAGACTTTTCAGTCTCTTAGTCCTCAAATTGCTCTTGATCCCAGTGAATCTGCTAAACGTCAGGAAGTCCCACTGGGGAATTTGAGAAGTCAAATTAGTAGTATATGTCTTCTTTCATATCTACCCTAATGCCTTTATCTTGGATGGTCTTGACATTCAATTTCACAGTTTTCTTTATGGGAAATAAACCACCCCCAGCAATTCCACAGTATCTCCCCCTAATCCCATCCCATTACCAACAGCAATTAGAAGTTGTGAAGGGGAAGGGCAGGCATTTGGCCTGATAACAACGTTGCACAAGTGGCTAAGCTGTCCCTGTCCCATATCTGAATACCTGGGTTCAATGTTGAGCTCTGACTGGGTTCCTGCCACACACCTGGGTGATCTGGATTAAGTTTCCAGCTTCTGGCTTTGACCTCAGTCTAGTGCTGGCCACAGCAGTCATTTTGAGGAGTGGTCACCAGAGGACAGCCCTCTCTCTATCCCTTTCTCTGAATCTCCCTGCCTATCAAGTGAATGAAAAAAATTTTAAAGTAGTGAAGGAGTCCAAGGAGTTCCAGTTTATTTTGTATTTAGGCAGGGTAGACCTTAAAGGAGGCTAATGTGATGAACACATTTTTATTTCAATTTTTAAAATATCCACTGACTGGGGAGGTGTTTAGCCGAGTGGTTACAATGTCTGGGTTCCACATCAGAGCACCTGAGTTCAATGTCTGGCTCTGGTTCCTGACTCCAGCTTCCTGCTAATGCAGACCCTGGTGGGGGCAGTGGTGACAGTTCAAATAACTGAGTTCCTGCCACTCTGGTGGGAGACTTGAATTGAATTTCTGGCTCTTAGCTTTGGCCAATCCCAGTCCCTGATATTACATGCATTTGGGAAGTGAGCTAGCAGACAGAAGTTCTCTCTCTCTCTCTCTCATTCCCCCTACCTTTCAAATAAATAAAAAGGGGAAAACATTTTCAATTAAAAAGCATATCCACTGATGAAAATGTGGTGTCTGTCCTGATTTTTGTGTACTGAAAGATGTCATTGACCCACACCCTGGCCATAGAAATAATCTCTGAGTTTTCTGTCTAGTGGTTGGTTGAGTTCAATCTGTGTGAGGATACTTATTTTCCTAGTGCTTATTCAAGAGAGGTATAGGTGTAAGCTCTAGCTTTGATTTTCTGTGTAGCTACAGCTATGATTTGGGTCCTCTGTTCATGATGTCCGAATTAACTATGTACCTCATTCTATTTAGCTGGAAATGTTGGTCAGCACAGGATCTGGAGACTTAAGAGGTCACTGAGATAAGTCATCAAATGGAAAAACATTTCTTTGTGCCTTTCTAAAAAGCTTTGTCAGGGCAAATCTACCTCAAAAATGGAACCTTCCATCTAGCCTCAATTTTCCTAAGTCCTCCATGAAATAATTAAAAATGATTATTTCATCCTAAGTTAAAACAGAACACAAAAGCCCTTCCAAAGGTTTTGCAACTTACTTTTATATGGGGGTGTTTTTCACACATTGTCCCCCACATACGGGAACAGCGTTCCTCTTTCCTGTGTTCGTAGAACTCAGGGTCTCGTAAGATAGCCACCTTCCGTCCACCATACATCAGGACAAACTTGCTGCACCCTTCCAGCCGTGTCTTATCATCTGCAGAGACGGGCAGTACGATGGGAATGCTCATGTTGATCACTCCATCTGTGGAAAGAGCCGTGTGGTCCATGAGTACTGGGTACAAGTTGGGCCATCCTTTAAGGAAGACTGAGATGTGCACAGTATCCCCGTCAGACATTTTCTTCAAAAGACATTAAGACCCAAAGTCAGTGTGGCTGTGTCGGCTGCACCAGTTCTCTAGCAATGGTGAGGGTCCTTGAGGGGCTTCCCAAAGCAGGAGATAGAATGTATGTGGAAAGAGGACTGAGTTTCTAATCACGGAGGTGGCTTCAATAAGTGACCTAACCTTGAGAACAAGGAGTGGATGTCTCCCTTCTGAGTTCTCTTTATAAATCTTGATCCTGATCTCAATGTACCAGGAAGTTATTAAGTCTTTAAAAATTCAATTAAACAAGATAAAAGTAAAAAAACAAACAAACCAACCAAAAAAATAAAAACCCCCAAAATGCCTCTAGTTTTTCTTCTAAATGAACCAGATAACAATGTTGAACAGTTTATTATATGTTTAAAATGCTGCTTGGGGTGTCTGTATCCAATATCAGAGTGCATGGATTTGAGTCCCAGCTCCATTTCCAATTCCAACTTCCTACTAATGCAGACCCTGGGAGGCAGCAGTGATGGCTCAAGTACTTGGGTCTTTGCCACCCAAGTGAGAGACCTAGATTGAGTTCTGGGCTCCTGGCTTCAGCCTGGTTCAGTCTTGATGCTATAGTCATTTGGGGTGTGAACCAGCAGATATCTGCCCCCCCCCCCAATAAATAAACTTTAAAAAACCTACTCTCTTTAAAAACCCTGCTCTCTTTGGAGAGCAGGCCCCTCTCACTTTTATGCTGAGTCTCTTTAAAAATGATTTAAGTAAATGAGACGCTCTGATTTCTCAGTATAGAGCATAAAGAGTTAGAAGGTATGGAATGTGGTGTTCAGAGAAGACATATCTTCAGCAGCAAGAAATGTTAAACAACAGCTTGATGGCAAAAGAAAACATGGGAAAACTATTTTTTTAAAAAAACAGACATAGAAACTACAATGATAATTTTATGTTTCAATTTGGGTATGCTACAGTATCCAGATATCTGTTCAAACATTATTCTAGATGTTCCTATGGCAGTAGCATTAACATCAGTGTACTGAGTAAAACAAATCACCTTCCATAAATATGAGTGTACCCCATTCAATCTGTGGAAGCCTGACTAGAAAAGGACTGATATACCTGGAAAAAGGAGAAATTTTGTTAAGACAGGCTTTGTCTTTGTGTCTTGTTTTGTTTTTTGAGGTAAGAGAAAGGCAGAAAGATAGCCAGACACATAGGGTAAGCTCCCTCTGCTGGTTTCCTTTCATTATTTTATTTTATTATTTATTTATTTATTTATTTGACAGGTAGAGTTAGAGAGAGAGAGAGAGAGAGAGAGGTCTTCCTTCCGTTGGTTCACCCCCCAAATGGCTGCTACGGCCAGCGCTGTGCTGATCCGAAGCCAGGAGCCAGGTGCTTCCTCCTGGTCTCCCATGCGGGTGCAGGGCCCAAGGACTTGGGCCATCCTCCACTGCACTCCCTGGCCACAGCAGAGAGCTGGACTGGAAGAGGAACAACCCGGACTAGAACCCAGGGCCCTTGTGAGATGCTGGCGCCGCAGGCAGAGGATTAACCAAGTGAGCCATGGCGCCGGCCCCTCCCTCTGCTGGTTTACTTTCTAAATGCCCACGTAGCCCAGGTCCTGGCTGAGGTCCGGAACTAGAAACTCAATCCAGGTCTCTGCACAAACATAGTATCCAACTACTTGAACTATCACCTGCTGCCTTCCAGGGTGCAGAATAGCAGGAAGCTGGAATCAATCAGGAGTGGAGCCAGGACTCAAACTCAGACACTCCAATATGGGATGAAGGTACCCCAAGATCTAAAGGGAAAAAATTGGCTCCCTAAAAATATCTCACTTGTTTTTAAAAAATTATTTTGTACTTATCTGAGAGGTAGAGAGAGCACTCCCATCTGCTGGTTCACTCCCCAGATGCCTGCAACAGTATGGGCCAGGGCCACAGCCAGCATGTGGGGACACAACCCAGGTCTCCAGGTGAGAGACAGGGACCCAGTTACCTGCGTCGTCACCTGCTGCCTCCCAGATTTTGCATCAGTGGGAAGCTGTAGTCAGCCAAGCATTGAAGCAAGGTACTCCTATATGAGCTCTGGGAATTTTTTTCCCCCAAAGAAACCTTTTATTTAAAGAATAAAAACTTCATGCATTTCATAAGTATAACTTTAAGAATATAGTGATTCTTCCTACCATACCCTCCCACCCACACACCCACCTCACCTCCTCCTCCCTCTCCCATTCCCAGTCCCATTTTCCACTAAGATCCATTTTCAATTAACTTTGTATACAGAAGACCAGCTCTATACTAAGTAAAGAATTCAAGAATTTTTATGAAAAAAAGAAAAAAAAAACTTCCTCAACAGTTGAATCAAGGGCTGTTCAAAGTCAATGCAAAAGTTAATTTCACTTCTTTTTTTTTTTTTAGAAACTTAATTAACTTTAAAGAAGCACCCAAGAATGATACATCTTTTGTGAGTACTTAGACATAATTATAATACAACTCTTTGAGGACAGAGGTCCTGCGTGTATAGTGCACAGTGACTCCTGTTGTTAATTTAACAACACTCTTATCTATGACGTCAGTGATCAACCGAGGCTTGTGATGTGAGCTGTCTAGGCTATGGAAGCCTTTTGAATCCACAAACTCCATCAGTATTTAGATAAGGCTCTTCCCTTCAGAGAAAAGTAACTCCTTTGAAGACAACTTCTTTCCACTGGGGTCTCACCCGCCGAAGTCTTTCATCTAGGACATTTTTGGTGAGCTGTGGAAATTTTAACCACTAAGCTAAACGCTCTCTCTAAAGATATAATTTTCTTAGGCAGGCGCCGCTCACTAGGCCAATCTTCCGCCTGCGGCGCCGGCACACTGGGTTCTAGCCCTTGTTGGGGCGTCAGATTCTGTCCCTGTTGCTCCTCTTCCAGTCCAGCTCTCTGCTGTGGCCTGGGAAGGCAGTGGAGGATGGCCCAAGTGCTTGGGCCCTGCACCTGCATGGGAGACCAGGAGAAGCACCTGGCTCCTGGCTTTGGATCGGCGCAGCGCGCTGGCCATAGGGGCCATTTGGGGGGTGAACCAACGGAAAAGGAAGACCTTTCTCTCTGTCTCTCTCTCACTGTCCACTCTGTCTGTCAAAACAAAAATTACAAAATTGTTTCCCCTTGCAATTTGTATTGTTGCCCTAATATTCTAACAAATATGTCAGTCTCTCAATTGTATTTACAGGTGAGAAAATGAGGACCCATGATGAAGTAAGTGTGTGACATAAAAAAGCATCAGGGAAAATTTTGCAGGAATTCTCAAGCTCAAGCTTCAGAACAGAATGAAAGGAAGGTACGTAAAGAAAAACATTCCACTGCAGAGAAAACAAATGCAGTTAATAATGGAGTCAAGGAAATGTACTATAGATTAATGAAATACTTTAAGGTGAATGTTCAAATCCAATATTTATAATGGCTTTGACAGAGTTAAAATATTTAATTCTACTCCTCTGAAGCATATATAAGGCTCCCTCCAGTAGCTGTGAAATACAACTTTCTAGGAATGTCACTCCTCCTTTTTTAAATACTCTACGAAAGTATGTCACCAGGACATAAAGAATGTCACAGGATAGAGATAGCAGCTGCCAGTAACAAAGGAGTGCAATCTATAATAAAATCCCACAACATGCTTTAGGACCATAGGTTATCCACAAATGAGATACTGTGTGTGGACAGCAATGGTTCTATCACTCAAAAAACTTTGTTTCAATGTTCACAGGCATTCGAAGTAACCAAGCCATTTGTAGAGAACACTGAACTCTAAGCTGGGAGTTCTCCCACTTACTATGTGAATCATCCAACTGCTCTGAATCCAGTTTTCTCACTGGGTTGAAAATAGTACATACCCCCCTGGGCTGCTGTGAGGGGGCATAGTACAAGGCACCAGATTTTTTTTTTTATTTGACAGATAGAGTTATAGACAGTGATAGAGACAGAGTGAAAGGTCTTCCTTCCGTTGGTTCACTCCCCAAATGGCCATCATGACCGGCACTGCACTGATCCAAAGCCAGGAGCCAGGAGCCTCCTCCTGGTCTCCCATGTGGGTGCAAGGGGCCCAGGCACTTGGGCCACCCTCCATTGCCCTCCAGGGCCACAGCAGAGAGCTGGACTGGAAGAGGAGCAACCGGGACTAGAACCAGCACCCATATGGGATGCTGGCACCGCAAGCAGAGGATTAACCAAGTGAGCCACGGCGCCGGCCCCAAGGCACCAGATTAATGGAGGCTGATGACAGATGATGAAGTCCAATGCCTGGTCCAGGTGAAGAAAAGGGAGAGAGCCCAACAAACGGTGTGGATGATGATGTGGGAATCAGAAATGGCAATTTCTGTGCATTGATTACCAATCACAGTGCTGAGAGGAATACAATGGAATTTGGCTCTGGTGGTTAAGAGTGACAGGCTCAAGAGAAAAAAAAAAAAAAAGGTATAGCTGGAGCTGGTGCTCCTGGAGGAAGCCTTGCCCTGCAGCCTTCTCTTCCACCATGTTAAGGATTCTGGGTTGAAATCCAAAGGATACTTGGCTTTGCTGTTGCAAATGGCTCCTTCAGTCCACTGGGTTCCTGCCTACTGTAGCATCTTGGCCTTGATGGAAAATCCAAAATGATGAAGCAGTACTCGTCCATGAGTAGTCAGGATGAGTGGTGTTATGGAAAGGAGTTCCACAGAATACTAACGCCAACTGATTTACCATGCCTGTAGCTGCAACTGCATGCAGGGATAGACAGATTTATGAAGGGTTCCCTACTTTCCCTATCAGCTTTGTTAATACATGAACAAATTTAACCACTTACTTAATTGTGCTGAAACATCTTCCATGGCTTTAAAAATGGACTGGGACTTTCAAAGTCTTTTTCTTTACACCCTTTAGCTCTAGTAGGAGCTACCTTCATAATCTGACTGT